CTCCTTTCCCCCTCCCCCCCACCTCCTGCCTCCTTTGCCCCTCCCTCATACCTCCTGCCCTCCTTCCCCTGCCCCTCCTTTACCTCCTGCCCCTCACCTCTCCTCCTTCACCTCCCTTGCCTGCCTCCCTCCTTACCCCCTGCCTCCTTTGCCTCCCATTTACCTCATTCCACCATAACCATTACATATACATCATTCCTCTCACCTATAACATTTACCCATCATATCATCATAACATCATTTTATATCATAATTTGCCCATCACTCCATCATTTACCTCATCACTTCCCTCCTTTGCCCCCTAGCCCATCCTACACCCTTGCCCCTCCTTACACCTCCTCTCCTCTCATTTTACCCCCCTGCCCCTCCTTTACCTCCTGCCCTCCTTTACCCACTGCCTCACCCTCCTTAACCCTCCTACCCCTCCTCCTTTACCCCCTGCCCTCCTTTACCCCCTGCTCTCATTGCATCCTTGCCTCCTTTACCTCCTGCCCTCCCCCACCTCCTCTCTGCTTTACCTACTCTCCTTTACCTCCTGCCTCTCTGCCCTCCCCTTTACCTCCTGCCTCCTTCTTACCTCCTTTACCTCCTGCCTCTCCTTTACACTCCTTTACCCCTGCCTCTCCCTCATGCCCCTCATCATCTCATTTTACATCATATATTTTGCCTGCCCTCCTTACATCATATATGCAGCATAGCATCTCACCGCATCATGGCCTCATTTTGCCACACTCTTGCTCTCCTTTGCCTCCTCTTCCCTCCTGTTGCCTCCCCTTAGCATCATGCCCCTGCCTCTCCTTACCTCCTGCCCTCACACCTCCTTTATCCTTCCCTGCCTCTCCTTTGCCCTGCCTCCTTTACTCACTCTCTCCTTTGCCCCTCTTGTCATTTGCCTCCTGCCCCTGCCTCCCCTTTGCCCTGCCTCTCCTTATACTCTCCTTTACCCCTGCCTCCTTTGTCCTACCTCTCCTTTACCCCTGCCTCCTTACCTCCTTGCCTTTTAGCATCATTTTGCCCTGCCCATCATTTACACCTCCTCCTTATCATTTCCCTCTTTCTTCCTCATTTTGCATCACCCACCCCTCATTTACCCCCTCTTCCCTCCTTTACCTCCTGCCCTCATTTACCCCTGCCTCTCCTTTACCTCCTGCCCTCATGCCTCCTGCCCTCCTTTACCTCACCTTTATCATACACCTGCCTCTCCTTACCTGCCTCCTTTACCTCCTGCCTCTCATTTACACACTCCCTCCTTTACCTCCTGCCTCTCCCTGCCCTCCTTTACCTCCTGTCTCCTTTACCCTGCCCTCTCCTTTACCCCATTAACCCCTCCCCTTTGCCCTGCCCCTCATGCCTCCTCCTTTTTTCATTTTGCCCCTGTTTGTCTCATTGCCTCCTTATCAGCCCCATCCTGCACTCTCCATTGCCCCTGCTCAGCCTCCTTTCCCCTCCTTTGCATCACTTCCTTTGCCTCTTCCCTCCTTTGCCTCCTTCTTGCTCCTCCTGCCCTCCTTTACCTCCTGCCTCTCCTTTACTTACATCTCCTTTACCTCTGCCCCTTCTTGCCTCCTCTCCTTTGCCTCCTACCCTCCTTTTCCCCCTGCCCCTTCTGTGCCCCCTACCCCTCCTTTGCCTGTCCTCTTGTCCCTCCTTTACCTCCTGCCTCTCCTTTACCTCCTTGCCCTCCCTCCTTAGCCTCCTTTACCTGCCCTCCTTTACACATAACATCCCATTGCCCCCCTCCCTCCCCTCTTCCCATCCTTAGCATATATTTTATCACCCCTCATTACATCATAGCACTCTCTGACCCTTCAACATCATTTGCATCGCCCTCATATCATAGCCTCATTTGCCTCCTGCCACTCGGCCCCGCATCCTATCTCCAGCCCCAACCCCTCAGCCTGCACTCCATCTTCCTCCTTTTCCACCTGCCCCTCTGTTGCCCCCTACCCTCCTTTGCCCCTGCCCTCCTTACATCACACTTCCTTTTCCCCCTCTTCCTTCACCCTGCTTCCTTTGCCCCCTGTATTCATGCATATATTGTCCTTTCATCACCTCATCCTCCCTCATGCCCCCTCAGCATCCTTTACCTCCCCTTAACACTCATGCTACATAACATCTGTGCCTCCTTTACTCCTTATCATGCATATAGCCCTCATGCTCTCTTGGCCCTATGTTGCCCCTCTTATTATTTGCCCCCCTGTATCCTTTGCCCCCTGCCCCATCATATATATTTTGCCTCCTGCCCATATTTTATCTGCCCTCATTTATCCCTTCTTTATATCATACCTTTATTATCATTTTCAACATTGTTCTTCCATATTTGCTTTATCATTCCTTCCCCCTCCTTCCTCATTTTATCACTGCCCCTCCAACCCCTTGTGCCCCTTATTTTACCTCCTTAACCCCTCCTGTACCCTCCACCCCCCTCCTTTTCATCACCTCATCATTTTACCTCATACTTCTCCTTTACTTTAGCCCTCCTTTTCCTGCTTATTGCCTGCCCATTCCTTCCCCCCTGCCTCCTTTACCCCCTGCCCTCCTTTGCCCCCTGCCCTCCTTTACCTCCTGCCTCCTTTTTGCCTCCCTTTCATGCCTCTCATTTGCATCTTCCTTTACACTCTATTTACATCATATTGTCCTTTGTGCCTCATTTTGTCTCCTCATCATATCTATCTGCCCTCCTTTGCCCTTCATCATAGCACTCATACATAACATCATTTTATTTCTTATCATTTTATCCTCTTGTTTTTACTTACCCTCATTTTCTCTTCTATTTACCTCTCCCTCCTTTTCATCCTCTTCCTCCTTCCTCTCCTTTGCCTTGCCCTCCATTTACCCTCCTTCCTCCTTTTCTGCCCTCTTCCCCCTGCCCCTCATGCCCCTGCCCTCCCCACCTCCTGCCCTTTACCTTCCCTCCTTTGCCCCTGCCCTCCTTTACCTCCCCCTCATGCCTCCTGCCCCTCCTTTACCCCCTGCCCCTCCTTTACCTGACTCCCTTTACCCCTGCCTCCTTTTCTCCCCTCCTTTACCCCTCTTATCATGCCTCCCCCTGCCTCCTTTGCCTCCCCTTTACCCCTTTCATTTTTATCATTTATCTTATCATTTTATTTTATAACATCATTACCTTACCTTCCTTTACCCCCTCCTTTACCCCTCCCATCCTTGTGTTGCCCTCATGCCTCTTATCCTCCTTTGCCCCCTGCCCTCCTTTGTCCTGTCCTCCTTACCCCTGCCTCCTTTACCTGGCCCTCCTTTGTCCCTGCCTCCTTTTTCTCATTGCCCCTCCTTTACCTCCTGCCCTCCTTTGCCCCTACCCCTCCCTGCCTCCCCTTTACCTCCTGCCCTCCCTTTACCCCACCCCTCCCCTTTACCCCTGCCCTCCTTTGCCTCCCAGCCCTCCTTTTCCTGCCTCCTTTACCTCCTCCCTTTACCTGCCCTCCTTTGCCTCTTTGTCCTTGTGCCTCCTTATATTTTTATCATTTTTAGGCCATATTTTTATACATCATTGTTATCATTACCTCCTTGCCCACTCATTTGCCCTCCCTCCTTTGCCCCCTGCCCTCTTTTTACCCTTATAACCTCATTTGCCCCTGCCCTCCAACACCCCCCTGCCCTCCTTTGCCTCCTGCCCCTCATACACCCCCCTGCCTCCTTTACCCCTGCCCCTCCCACCCCTGCCTCCTTTCTTCCCTCCTTACCTGCCCTCCTCCTTTACCTCCTGCCCTCATGCCTGCCCTCCTTTACCCCTGCCTCTTTATCCTGCCTCCCCCTGCCCTCCCCTTTACCCCACATCCTTGCCTCCTTTGCCTCCTTGCCTCCTGCCCTCCTTTACCTGCCTCTTTTTATCACCTCCTTTGTCCCTCTGTCCTTGTGTTTGAGCCTGTTAACAATGTGGCTTCTAG